CAGCAAATTTGAACAGGGTGCTTTTTACCACCTCGTCCAAGTTGCTGATGAAGATGTTGAAGAGTGCAGGCCTAAGGACCGAGCCCTAAGGAACCCCACTGGCCACATCCCTCCAGGTCGAAAATGACCCGTCCACCACCACTCTCTGGGTGTGACCCTCCAGCCAGTTGGCGACCCATTTGACTGTCTGGGTGTCAACACCACAGCCCCCTAGTTTCTTAATGAGAACAGGGTGCGAGACATTGTCGAAGGCTTTCTGAAAGTCCAGGAAGACTACCTCCACTGCTACCCCTGCATTTAAGGATTTGGATACCTGGTCATGGAAGACCACCAGGTTGGTTTGACAGGACCTGCCTCTAATGACCCCATGTTGGTTGCCCCTAAGCATAATCTCCCCTGCTGGCCCCTCGTGGACATGTGCCAGAATAATTCTGTCAAAAAGCTTGCCCAGGATCGAGGTAAGACTAACTGGCCTATAGTTTCCTGGGTCCTCCTTCCTTCCCTTTTTGAAGATAGGAACCACACTGGCCCTCTTCCAGTCCTCTGGCACCACACCAGAGCACCACGAGTGCTTGTAAAGCCGTGCCAGGGGTCCCGCAATGACCACAGGTAATTCCCTCAGTACTCTGTGGTGGAGATCATCAGAACCAGCTGATTTAAATACGTGCAGTGCCTCCAGAAGTTCCCTGACTCAATCCTCACTGACCCTTGGCCTAGGTGTGCCTCCCTTGGGGCCTAAGGGGGGCCCAGAAGGGGGGGTGACTGTTCGGTCCCTGCTCAGGAAAATGGAGGCAAAGAAATCGTTAAATATGTTGGCTTTGTCATCTGGTGTGACAACCATATTTCCTGGTGTGTCTTGCAGGGGCCCCACGTTACCCGGTACCTTCTTTTTGCCCCCTATGTATTTAAAAAAGGACTCCTGTTGTCCTTGATCCGGGAAGCTAGTCCCAGTTCCATCTCTGTCTTGACCTTCCTGACTGGCCCCCTGCATCCCCGAGCAACTGCAGTATAGTCCTCCCTGGTGATGGACCCTTCCATTGGGTGTGCGCCTCCCTTTTAGCTAGGAGACACTCCCGGATGCTTTTGGTGAGCCATGGGGGCTTTTGTGCCCTCCTGCCCCCTTTGATCTGTATTGGGATTACTTCTCTTTAGGCTTGGAGGATTGTCTCCTTAAGGGAGCAACCACTCTTCTTGGACACCCGGCTCCCCTTCCCTCCAGGACCTCAGTGCTTCCCCGACTATTCTCCTTAGCTCATTGAAGTCTGCCCTCTTGAAATCTAGGGCTGCTGCCTTGCTGTAGGCTTTTGCCACCTTGTGCTGGATGGTGAATTCCAGCAGGTGATGATCGCTGTCGCCCAGGTGGTCAAGCACCTGCAGCCCCCTCACCAGCTCGTCACCGGTGGTCAGCACCAGGTCCACCAAATCATTTCCCCTGGTGGGGCTGTGCATCTCCTGGGTTAGATGGAGGTCCTGCATTTTGGCTAGGAACCTACGTGAGCAGTCAGACCTGGCTGACTGCTCTTCCCAGCAGATGTCTGGAAAGTTTAAGTCACCCATGATGACCACGTCCTTTGATTTCACTACCTCCATGAGCTGACTTAAGAATTCCTGGTTTAGCTCTTCCCCTTGGTTGGGAGGTCTGTAGTAGACCCCCACTGTTAAATCTCTTTCCCCTCAACTGCCTTGTATTCTAACCCAGAGCACTTCAGAGTACACTTCCTCTGACTCTCTGTGTTACCTGGTGAGGATGTGTAGTCCTCCTTAATGTTGATTGCCACACCCCCACCTTTCCTCCCTGTCCTATCCCTCCTGTACAGCCTATAGCCCTTGATATTCACTGCCCAGTCATGCGCTGGGTCCCACCATGTTTCAGTGAGCCCCGCTATGTCTGGGTTGGTGTCAGCTAGCAGGAGGGTAAGTTCCTCTTGCTTGTTTCCCATACTACGAGCGTTTGTGTAGAGGCATTTGAGGCCTCCTGAGGATGTGTGCACTGGCCCCCTAATCTCGGCATTGGCCTGGCCCCTGTTGCTTACCTGTGTATATGTTCCACTCATCGGTCTAGGCTGGGCTGTATTTGTGGGTGTTGCTTGGTTTGGCAGTCCAAGGCTTCCTCCACCCTCGTCTTCGCCTTGCTCCAGCGAGCCTAGTTTAAAGCCCACCAGAGGAGATCCGCCAACTTAGAAGAAAACACACGCCCACCTTTAGGGGAAAGGTGGAGCCCATCCCATCCAAGCATGTCTCTTGTCGTGATGTGCAGGTCATTTTCTAGGAAGCCAAAGCCTGCCTCAAGACACCATTCCCATAGCTGTCAGTTGGTCTCTGCGATGCACATCACATGCCGTCTTCCATGTCTGCTCACTGGTAGGACAGAAGAGAAAACCACCTGTGCACCTATCTCCTTCAGCACGCCTTACTGTGGTTGGCAACCTTTTCGCGCTAGCACCCAGCTGCTGCTGCTGCTGCTTTTTCCAGCAGGTGCACTGGAAAAATGTCCACAGCTGGCACTTTTTTTTTTTCCTTGCAGTGGCAGGGGGCTTCAGGAGCAGTTGCTTTCCTCTGCTACCATGGAGGCGATCGCTAGCTACAGACACTTTCCCCATGCAATCCAAGGGAAAAGCAGTGACTTGCAGGCACTTTCCCTGTGTACTTGCTGGGAAAAGTAGTGGCAGCAGGTCTTAGCACCCACCCTCTGTGCTCCTGCCCACCTCTGACCTAAACTGAGTCATGTAACTGCTGAAGCCCCATATCTGCAGCGGGATCCAGCCTGTAGGCCATAGGTTGCTGACGGCTGAACTAGACCCTTGGCATCGTGTGGTAGGTGGGTACAGATCATGCCCAGTACACACCTAAAGAACTGAGTTCCACACAAGCCAGCAGTGGCTGCCGTTTTCAATAAAAAAAAAAAATATGGCCAGGAGGGGAGAGGGTATGAGTGGTAAGTAATAATCCTTTTTATATGTTAACCTAACAGTTCAAGCATTCATCTATAAGGAGGAAGGCCTAGGCTCCGACCCCTGGTCCAAGGCCTGATTGTGCATTATATCCAATAACT